CCTTCCTGCTGCTGGAAGTTTATAACTGCCTAAAAGTCAACTTTCAAATAATTCTGAACTTCCAAAATGCCAAGTAGGTAGAATACTTAGGATAGTGAGCTGATTAAACGGAGTGTATTTCAAGGCGACAGATATATTACAAGCACCAACCTTGTACCAGGCACTGAGCTGGATGCTGGGGAAATGCAGGGATGAAGGACACATTCCCTGGCTCACTGTCTGGTGGAGGAAGCAGACAGGTGGACAGAGAACTGGGACACCAGGGACTAGTGCTGAGAGGCAGGTGCCCAGGGAGCATAGCATAGTGGAGGAGATCCAACCCAGCCTGGGTGTTGGAGACACTTCCCAGGGGAGGTGGAACCAGAGCTGAGACTTGAAGAATGAGTGGGAGCTGATCAGGCCTGTCGGAGGCAGAGGGAAAGGTGTTTGAGGCAGAGGGAACAGTGTATGCAAAGGCCAGAAGACACACAGGCCTTTTGTGAGAAGAGCTGCAATTACTCTAGTGACGGTGGGGGAAATGGCCAGGGATGAGGCCAAATAAGGATTTGTGACTGTGTTCTGTAAGCACCAGGGAGCTATCAAATGACATCAAGTTTATGCTTTAGAAAGATGTTTTGGGCAACATTAAGGATGATTAGAAATGGAAGGAGAGGAAGAAGGGAGATCTGATGGGAGGTTTGTGGTCGAGAAATGATGAAGCCCTCTTGATACACTCTTACAGTTTAGTAGGGGAGGTGAGACATGTTCACAGCTGATGCCTGTTGTACAAGGCGTGTGTGAACAGTGGGACAGGTGGGATAGACTACAGAGGCAAGGCAGCTCAGGAGGAAACAGAATCAGAATGGTACACAGGGCGATGTGGGGAGAGCAACCAGGGAAGGGGGAATGTAGGAGTCACTGACTTTGCTAGAAGGGGTAACAGAATTATTCTGTTAAGTCTGATTGGGATGACCAGAGTGACACAACAGATTAATGTGATTTCAGAGATAAGCGTTACATTTCATCAAGCTGGGCCCCCAAAAGACTCTGGGTTAGAGAGAGAAGCTTTCAGAGGGATATTCCAAGTTTATCACACGGCAAAGGGAACAGACTAAATACTGGTTTCCTGAATCCTGAAACCGTAGAACTGTGAGGCACTTCTTGAAATTAAAATAAGAGGAGAGAGCATGAAGTCATCAGATTGATTTTCCTGTTTCAGAAGTGTTTCACTACATCATCCCTTTACCCAAGGCTCAAAGCCCTCCAGACAGTCCTCATAGCCTGCAGGATGGAGGAAAACCATTTTTTCTGTCTGCAGAATGACTCTGACTTACCATCTTCTTCTACTGCGGAAACCCTCTGCTCTGGCCAAAAGGAACCACACAGACTGCCTCCTGGGCCTCCCTGCACTGTCTCAACTTTACCTCTCTGCTTGCTGGAACACCCTGTGCCCGCCTCCCCATACACCTTAATCCTTCTTGTATCCGAGGCCCAGCTGAAATCCCGTATCTTCTGGGAAGTCTTCTTTCATCATTCTAATTCAATGGGATCTCCTCCTTCCCTACATTTTGATAGAACTTAATTGTCTTTTACGACTTATTACATATCTGTACATTGTCTAGCATTGTTACCTTTCCATGAGTCCTGTGCTCTGTCTCCCCAACTAGACGGTAAACTCCTTGAGGTTGAGTATCTATTGCTGCATAACAAATGACCCCAAAATTCATTGGCTTAAAACATCATCTGTTTTATTATATCTCTTGATTTATTAGGACAGGAATTCAGACAGGGGTTCAGTTGGGTGATTCTTCTGTTCCGTGTGGTGTCTGCAGAGGTCAGTTGGTGAAATTCTGTTGGTGGACAGACTAGTATGGAGAGTTCAAAATGGCTTCACTCACATCTGGTGCCTTGGTGAGAATGGCTGGAAGACTGGACTCAGCTGGGACAGTTGACCAGAGCACCGACACATGACCTCTCCAGCATGATGGTCTCAGGGTAGTCAAACTCAGGGATCCCAGAATGAGTGTTCCAGGAGGCTGGCTGGAAGCTGCAAAGTCCCAGAATTTCACTTCTGCCACATTCTATTAGTTAAGCAAGTCAGTAAGGTCAGCTCTGATTCAAAGGAAATGGAACTAGACTCCACCTGTCAATGGGAGTCATAGTGAAGTATATGAGGCCATCTTTTTTTTTTTAATTAAAAAAAATTTTCTATTGTACTTCAGTTCAAGGTTCACAGAACAAATAGTTTCTCATTAAACAGTTTGTGCACATATTGTTTTATGACATTGATTAACAACCCCACGACATGTCAGCACTCTCTCGTCTCAAACTTGGGTTCCCTATTACCAGCTTTCTTGTCCCCTCCTGCCTTTTAGTCCTTGTCCCTGGGCTGTTGTGCCCCATTAGTCTTGTTTTGTTTTGTGGGGCTGTCTAATCTTTGGCTGAAGGGTGAACCTTAGGGGTGACTTCATTACTGAGCTAAAAGGGTGTCTGGGAGCCATACTCTCAGGGTTTCTCTAGTCTGTCAGGACAGTAAATCTGGTCTTTTTCTGTGAGTTAGAACTTTGTTCTACATTTTTCTCCAGTTGTGTCCGGGACCTTCTGTTGTGATTCCTGTCAGAACAGTCAGTGGTGTAGCCAGGCACTATCTAGTTGTACTGGACTCAGTCTGGTGGAGGCTGTGGTAGTTGTGGTCCATTAGTCCTTTGGACTAATCTTTCCCTTGTATCTTGTTTTCTTCATTCTCCCTTGCTCCTGAAGGGGTGAGACCAGTGGAGTGTCTTAGATGGCTGCTTACAGGCTTTTAAGACCCCAGACTCTACTCACCAAGGTAGAATGTAGAACATTTTCTTTATAAACTATGTTATGCCAATTGAGCTAGATGTTCCCCGAGACCATGATCTCCACAGCCCTATGAGGCCATCTTTAATCTACCATATAGTATTGCCCTCAGACCTAAGCAAGGACCTCAAGGGGTTCCACACTTTAGGGTGTTATTCTTACGATTTTCTAAGTCCTTCTTCAGTGGCTGAGATAGATCCAGTCTGTTTCTCCGCTTCAGGGTACTGATCTTCTACCCCATGTGCAGGTTGACCAGATGCCCTGGAGAGCTTCAAGACTCATGTCTTTGGACTTGTTCAGGGCAATCTAGCAAGCAGATTGCTTCTGCTGACCAACACAGCATTTCCTTTGTGGCCACTAGAATGGTACTTCCTTGCTGATTTTGGGTGACTGTCATTCACAATGGATACAGGATGAGTTCAGTACTCTGGGCTACTGACAGCCCATCACTGACCTTCAGGGTTGAGCTTCTTTTGTGGGTCTATGCCATGGCTCTCATTGGCCTGTGCTCTAACTGCAGTGCTACCTACAGTCTACAGCATGCCAGAATAGTGGGGGTGGTGGCATTCTTTAATCTGTGTGTCCCCCGCCCTGTAATAGGGTCACCACTCTACCCCCTCCATGGGCTTCACACCACATGTTAGGCAGTCCCCAGGAGTGGCATGTCTATCTTTTCTATTCTAGACCATTACTCTTTAATGTCTATGGGTTTACAACTGTTCCAGGTGAGGGTCAGATGTTCCCTGCATGAATAGGACTTCTCTTCTTGCTCCACCCAGGGGCCCCTTGCCTATCTGCTTCTACCCTGTGTCAGCTGGTTGTATTTGGAAGGTAAGGTTGCAGTTAATACTGAAATAGATCACTTTCTAGGTGTATGGAATCAAGGCTTAAGGAATTCAAGAGAAGACATGGTTGGAAGATAAATTGTACATTTACACTATAAAATTCTGAAATATTATTTACATTTTCCTGCATACCCTAGGTAAGACTTGCCATTAGTGTCATCATCAGTGAAACACAGTAACAATTTTGGAGTCATTAGAAGCCACTATTCATGGGCAGCATGAAGGACGACGCAGCATCATGACTAATGATATAACTAGCATTAAATAAATGACATGAGGAACTGGAGAGACAAGATATACATAGTTCAATACAAACAGGTTCTGAAGAGCCTAGCATTGTGAATAACAGCATTGTTACCTTACCCCCAGTGCCCGGTACATAGTAGGCGCTCAATAAATATCAAAATAAATGGAAAAATTAATGTTAGGGAAAGAAATGTACTCGAGTGGACAGTCTCTTGGGACACAAAACTGGGTGGGATCCAGGATACAGGAAAATGGAAGCATCTACTTGTCAAAGGAAGAGGAACATCTCCTCCCTTGGGAAAGACTGCAGATAAGCCTGGGAGGGTGGAAATGGGCTAGGTCTATGTGGAGAAGCAAAAATGTCCAAATCATTCAAGTTTCAGCTCAAACGCTACCTCCTTCGTGAAGCCTGAGAGACCCACCGGACCCGACCCCAGCTTGGCTCAATCTCTGTGAATCTCTTTGGACTTTCAACATCGTGGAGTGGTTTTCGTATAGAGTTCATTTTCTTTCCTAGACCGCGACCTCTGAGGGCCAGAGGAACTGGTTTCCCCCACAGCACACATGACACACGGTAATCACTCATTCATTGTGGATTTATTAGGTGGATACACGGGGAGGGCAGACGGGCAAATCAACGGGCAGACTTGAGACAAGAGAAGTCTGTGCCACAGATTCCAGTGAACAGCGAAATTTCCAGACCCACAATTAATAATCCGTTCAAGCAAAAACCCAGCATGCACCTCTCTCCTTTCTTAACTCGCAGGGAAGCCGAGCTCTTGCCTCGCTTGCCTCCAATCCTGCTCTGAGGACGTTACGTCAGTATCCCGCGGCTGTCCTCGCCAATGTCTGACTCAATCCTGAAGCCAACCTTCCCCCAAAACCTACACCTCCTGTTTCCTATGTGAGACCAATCCTCTGACCATACTTATTTTCCTCTCTCAGCCTTTTTTCTCGTTCCCTTTCTCTGGTCTCGTTCCCACCGCCAATCAGGCGCGCATGCGGGCAGCCCTAGCAGGCAGGGGCGGGAGGGCCCTGCTACCGGAAGCCGGAATCCGGAATCCGGAAGTGGGGGGGGGGGGCGCTGTGAGGACGTGTTCTGGGGAAGCCAGAGCTGTAGCCGGCGCGGCTGGCGCCATGGAGCCGCTGTACCAACAAACGCACAAGTGAGGGCCGCGGTGGGGCACGGGCGGGGGCGAGGACAGGCTGGGCGACGCCGGACCCTGGGGCTGAGACCCAGGTCGTCAGCTAGTGTGGACGCAGAGTCCTTCTGCCGGGGGCAGCTCAGTCCCTGGCTTGATGCCCAGGTCAGCGGCGGACAGAGGGTCCCGCCTGGGGCCTGGAGACGTTGGGCTGGGTGGCTCCTGGAGTCGCCACCCGAGCCTGCGAGTCCGTGACTACTTGCTGGGTAGACTGGGTGGAGGGAAAATCGCACTTACTGGCCGTAATATTGTGTCCAAAACCACAATCAAATCAGTTGCTGTCGAGTCGATTCCGACTCATAGCGACCCTATAGGAAGGAGTGGAACTGTCCCATAGGGTTTCCAAGGAGCAGTTGGTGGCTTCGAACTGCCTACTTTTTGGTTAGTAGCCAAGCTCTTAACCACTGCACCACCCGGGTTCCAGTACTGTGTCCAGCATCTACCAATTCGGTGCTCCGGTTGGTAGAGCTTCTGGGGAGACACGACCCCTGCCCAAAGGACTTTACTGTTTAATTGGAGAGTCAAGACACGTTCGAAAAAATAACGTGTGACAGGATGGTGCGGAGGGTAGATGAACAGTACAAGCAGGATTTCCTTAAAAAATTTAGAAGAATCCATCACTGGGCAGAGGTCAGAGAAAGTTTTGTTATAGCTCGCAGTTCCAAATGATTCAGCAACTACTCTGGATCAGCCCTAAGCTTATTGCTGCCACACCGTGATTTTTTTTTCTCTTAACGCTGATTTGTTTTACCCTAAAGACAATCTTTTTACGGTACGAAGAAATTGCCATACAAGTAGCATTCAGTGTTATAACTTGCTGTTAACATGTGGTTATGGGTTACCTTTAAGGAAATCGAGTTTAGGTTTAGCTTCTCATAACGTCCTTGGTAGTGGGCTTTATTCTTATAGCCCTGCATTTTTGGAACTTGCTGAGATACGTAGTTGGGCATGGTAATAGGGGCCACATCTATCCTATTTTAACAACTTTCGAATTTATGCTATAGTTTTGTTCTGCTGAAAACACTTAAAATCACTCGTAGGGCCTGGAAATGAAATAAAATAGACACCCAACCTCTCTCATGAATTTACAACCAAAGAACCAAATACTTTGGAGCATTAGGAATAAAAGGGTGATGTTCCTCTCATCTTTCTTTTTCTAAGTTTATGGGTTTTGTGATGAAGTGTTTGGTTTGGGAATACAGAAAATACAGAACCTACTTTGTAATAGTATAAAAATAACGGAATTTGCTCTTATGCTAGGGACCCAGTTCTCATATAAAAATTATAAGAAGGGACTTGAAAAGCTAGACCTGTGAGTCAAATGGAGAAAGAATGAAACAAATTTATGCTCATGTTACGAAGGGCAGATCTTTTACATTAGCATGGCACAGCGGGCTGAGTAGTGTCTTGAAGTTAATCTGTAATGTAGAGTCTCATCTAGTTAATTTGGTTAAAGGATGTTGCTAAGGAGGCTGTGACCACGTTTCTTTTCAAGAATAATTTAGTTCAGAGAATCTTAGCTGCAGGTGGCAGCTGTTCACAGGGAAATGTGGGTGGCTCAGTTCTCTGCAAACTTGTCCCAGACAAGACTGTGGAGTGTAAACCACTTACCTCTGCAGGCCTCCAACAACCCACCCTGAGACTCTACACCAAGGTTCACCAACGTTTTCTTTAAAGGGCCAGATAATATTTTAGGCTTTGTGGGCCATATAGCCTCTGTGGCAGCTATTCAGCCCTGCAGTTTAGTGCAAAAGCAGCCATAGACAGTATAGTAAATGAATGGACATGTCTGTGTTCCAGTAAAACTTTGTTTACAAAAACAGGTTTCACCCACTGTTATTAGGCCTGCCACTATTCAGTCATTCATTCAATGAGTAGATACTGTACTCCTACTATGTGTCAGGAGTCCCTGGGTGGTACATACAGTTAATGTACTCAGCTGCTAACTGAAAGTTGGGAGGTTTGAGTCCACCCAGAGGCAACTTGGAAAAGTCTGGCATTCTACTTCCAGAAAATCAGCCGTTGAAAACCCTGTGGAGCACAGTTCTACTGTGATGCACATGGAGTCAGAATTGACTTGATGGCTACTGGTTTTACTATGTCAGGCACCATTCTCAGTGCTGGCAGTACAGCCCTGCCCTCAAGGAGTTTACCGTCTTTCATGCTACAGTATACCCAATCAGCCTTTCCCTTCAAGTACTGAACCAGGAGTGGGATATCTGGTTCTAGAAATCTTTTCTTTGTTTTCTTCATATGTAAAATGATAGCTAAGAGTTGGTTGAACTATAAGGCTGCTTTCTGTTCTTAATACTAGACATTGAGTGTCTTCAAAAGGGAATACAAAGTGCTGTGAGCACCAGCAACCAAATTTTGCAATTGCAGAAATTAGTGATTGTAGCTTAACTGATACAACAGTAACTGATCTTACTGATTTTATTGGAACTTTGAACCCAATTTATGGTTATCTCTTGCCATGTCCCTGAAAGTACATTGGAATTAGATCAGCATTTTAAAGTTCTAGATCTTGGAAACTCCTGAACTACCTGAACAGTAATGGGGGGGGAAATGAAAAACAATAAACATTTTATCTTTAAATAATACTGCATTAGGCTGAATTTTATAGAGGACTAACAGCCAGGCTTCTACTTTTGAGATCTCAGTGGTTGTAAAGGTGCCCACATTTGTCCTCCACTGTAGTCCAGGATTGGTCCAGTATCCTGGACGTTATCCCTAGAAATTATAATTCAATAGGCCTGGGACACAGGAACTTCTATTTTAACAAGCTCTCCAGGTGACTTTGATGAACAGCTGAGTTTGAGAACTATTTCCTTATCTTAAGACCAGTTTTTTCTTTTTAGATTGTGCCCTCTGATGAGGTAAAGGCTAAATATAAACAGACTAGGTAAAGTGGGTGAGATAAAAAGGGCCAGATGGTTCCCACTACTTGTAAGTAAAGTAAAAACAACAAATGAACTTTTGTGTGATGCTGGATAGATTACCCAGCATTTCATATTGCATTTGGATCTAAGACCCTTTAAGTAATTGCTGTCATCAGTGCCACTGTTTTACAATTGAGGAGACTGAAGCACCAGTGAGTAAAATGGCTTGTTCAATGTCCCTCAGCTAGCACACAGAAGAACTAGAACTTCAGCTCAGTCTTTTAACTCCAAAACCCTGATTCCACTATGTCCCACTGCTCATGGTGGTCAGAGGCAGCATGGGGGGATGCAGGGTTAAGTTGGGGGGTGTGACAGGGAAGTGGTTTCATAGACTTTTAAAAAGCAGTTCAATTTTTAAATTCTTTTTTGTAAACCCCCTTTAAAACAGCAAATTGGCCCAACAACCCTTGCCTACTTGCTGCTAGGTCTCTGCGTGGTTCTGTTGTCACCCATACGCACCATGCACCCCATGCTAGGTGGGCTAAGACTTCTGTTTTCTAATGTCCACACTTTCAGGTCATGCTTGTGTATCACCTGTTCCTTATTGGCTTTGAGTGTGTGGCCTGAATTCCAGTTTGGTTTAAAACAGATTTTCCACTTGACATGTTAGTCGTTCCCACCATGCCATTCATACTTGCTTTGTTGTTATGGATTTATTTCCTCTCAGGCATGAAATGGAGAGATTGGAATCATTTTATTGGCTATATCTTCTCTAGTTCGTTCAAAGCAAATAGAAATTGGATGGGAAAAGTCAGTAATGTTTCCCTGCAACTTAAAGTTTATCCTTTTTAGCTTAAGAAATTGTGTAGCCAAGCCAGCAGAAGAGTGTTACCAGGGTTCTGTGGGTGTTGGCATCATCTCTCCTGGCTAGCCTCATAGAATTTAAGAATTGAAAGGGACTTCCAACATCTTTCAACAACTAATGGTTGGGAAGACCCCCTGTAAAGCCCCAGATGGTCCATATACCTTATGTTTAAACATGCAGGAGCTTTTTTTTTTTCCTTTCTTTTTTCTTGAGACCTTTCATAATTGTTCTTTTTCTTCTGTTAAACTGAAATCTGTTATCTTGAAACTTCCACCTGTTGACTCGAGGTCTCCCTTGAGCAGCGGGAACAGAGAAAAGCCCAGTTTTCCCTCTTCTATGTCAACTCCAGATATTTGAAGACCCGACTTCGGGGCCTGATATCTTGGACCACACCAGAGGTCCAGGGTGCAGTATTGCATTTCCAAAATGAGATGCCAGTTGCCAGGGAAAGAGTTTACAGTACAGGAGATCCCTGTCTTTCAGGACCTTCCTCTGAGTGGTTTCCTCCAACTAATTGCCTCTGCCCCCTCCCCTCTGAGAGGCCAGCCTGCTTGTGATCCACATGACCCACCTTGCATGCCCTTTCGCATATCATTTTCTTCATATCTTTCCTCACCAAATCATGTCGCCCTTCTAAGTGATGCTCAGAACTCCCCCACCCACAAACCTTCTCTTCCCCCCTGATTCTTTCACAGCCACTCGCTTGCCTTTGCTGGGCGCCACTATGCATAGCTCCTCAGCTTTCTGTTTGCACTTACATGTGTTGTTTTTGTCTTACACAGAACAGGGAGTATCTCTCCCTTGCCCTGTGACTCTCGGCCATACCAGTACTCAGCACACTGGGTCATAGAACAGAGCGGGGTTGGCTGCAGATCCAGGCCTATTGCTGTGTGACCTTGAACAAGTTACATAACCGTTCTGGGCTTCAGTTGTCTCTTTTACAAAATGAGGATGATGGTGGTACCTTCCTCGTAGACTTACTAGTAGAGTGTCTCGTACGTGGTAAGCACCCAATAAATGCTGCCTATCAGCATCACTACAATTAATGTTAAAATATTAGAAACCATGCCAAAATGCTTGGCTTAAAGTGTCGCCTACAAATTTTACAGTTCAGTGATGCTGTCACTTTAAATCTGTCACATGTTGGCATCAGAAAAATTGTCTTTCCTGACTGAAGCGCTGTTGATTACTCCCGTCTCACTCATTTCCTCCCTCCGATAGGCAGGTCCACGAGATCCAGTCTCACATGGGACGCCTGGAGACGGCAGACAAGCAGTCTCTGCACTGTGAGTAATTAACTACGCAACCAGAGTCCTTTCTCTGATGACACGGTGCTAATGGGCTGGGTTTCCTGCCTGCCTTGCGGCCTCGGGGCTTAATGATTCAGCGGGAATGGGTTTTCTTGTGAGGGTGGACAGAAACACCCCATGGCAAAGTCACAGATTTCCCTGATTGTGCCCTCTGGAATCCCACAAGTCTTATCCCCCATTACCCCTCCACTCAACCTGACATGGCCCCTTGGGAATGGAAGTTCTTTCCTCCATCTGTCTTAATCTAATTACCGAGTCCTTAGAGGAATGTACACCATAAAAATTCAGATGTTGAACTGGAAGTGGTCGTTTTTTCTGAGCTGAGACGGGTGGCTCTTTAGGAGGATTATTCAGAAATGAATAGCAGTAGTAATTAGTTTAGTTCCCACACCATGGTCTCTTTTGAGACAAATGCCTTTTTTATTTTTAATTCTGTTGGGAAAGGTCCTTTACCAGAGTTAGTCCTCTGGACACTGCCGGCTACCCATGAGCTCCAGGAGCCACCTTCTCACCTGTGTCCTGCCCACATCTCCTGTTTCTTCTTGCCTCCCTTCTGCAGCTTCAGGAGCATCTCATCGCTTGGTTCTGAGCCCCACCTTGCTCTAATCTAAACTGTGTGTTAGCTGTAGGCGTGAAGGCCTAGGAAGGGGCAGTGTCCCCACTGCTGTCACTTCTTTACGGGCAAGAAGCAGTCTGGACGCCTTCTGTGCTCAGTTCAGTTTCTGTCCACCAGAGTTTGTTTGCCTTCCCAACAACCCCATTGTTTCATGATTAGAAATGGAAAAGGGGTTATGTCGACTGTCTTATCAAAAGGGATAAGGAAAATGACTGGATTTATCATATCTTTACCTCTGTGGATTCTTTCCTGGGCCTTTTCCTATTGATATTTGGCCTATTTTGGGGACTCAAACGTTGCTTAGCCCACCCATTCTTATGAAAGCCTTAAGGGAGGTCTTCCCTGTATGTTGCACATACTAATCTCCTCTTCTTTTATGATTTGTTTTAACCTTGTTACTATAGGGAATTCAGTTGGCAGTCTTTTTACCAGCTATTCATAATCCATATCTGAGAGTAATCTCAAAAGAAAAAAGATCTCATTCTGTATCAGAAAATACTGCATTTAGCTCAAAATATTTATCGGGACAACTTTTAAATATTCATTTTGGTTTTCTAAAGGCAAGAGAGGTATTTCTACAGATCGCCATCAGCTTTTTTAAAAATTAGTATTGCTATGGCATTAAAAGAGGAAGACCGTCAACAAGATGGATTGACACAGTGGCTGCACCAGTGGGCTCCAACATAGCAACGATTGTGAGGATGGTGCAGGACCGGGCAGTGTTCCGTTCCGCTGTACATAGGGCCACTATGAGTCAGAGCCGACTCACCAGCACCTAACAACAACAACGTGGCATTAATGGAGATACAGATTTTTTTTTTTTTCTGAAACAACGTTTACAGGGTCACTTAGTATACTTTGAATTTTTTTCCATTATCCGTTAGTGTGTACCTTTTTCTCCTTTTGAAATATATGTTTTTGAGTTTATTGGATATGGAAAGAAAGACGTACTTGATTTGTCGTTCTAATATAAGTCCACTATCTCTTTTCCAGCAATTATTCTGTTTTCTCTTTTATACAGTAGTAGAAAACGAAATCCAAGCAAGAATAGACCAGATATTCAGCCATCTAGAACGTCTGGAGATTTTGTCCAGCAAGGAACCCCCTAACAAAAGGCAGAGTGCCAAACTGTGAGTGTGACCTCTGACATGGCTCTGACACCCCAGGTGCATCAAGACAGGCTTTTCTTCCAGGGTGGGCTATAGCATATTCTGAATATCTACTTCTACATTGAAAGACTTGAGACTACACAAAGGTAAAGTCCTCATAAAGGGCACAATTCTCTCTGAGTGATATTCCCTCAAAATAAAAAGCCTGTGAGATTTGGGGCTCAGAAGCCTTATGTCGCCTTACCTCTTTTGTGTCATTTGAAATTTTGCCTCCAGTACTGTTCTTCTGACCAAACCCATAGCCACTTGAGGTCTGCGCCAGGGAGTTCTGCTCTGCTCTGTGGTTCTCCCTGCATTCTTGTATTGAAACGAAATCTTACTCTTAATCACTTCATTCAATCTATTTATAATGAAATACTGATCTAGTGCTTGATACAGTGCATGAAATTATAATGAAACCACTCTGACCACCTATACCCCCAGCCCCTGCTCCCAAAAGTTTGTTGAAACTTTACTCCAGAGGTGCCCTTGGGCTCTTTTTAGGAGAGCGATATAATCCGTAGAAGGTCAGGAAGAGGTCAGCGAGCCTGCTTCCTGTCACCTGTTCCCTGTCGTGCACCCGGAATCAGAGACCAGTAGATACTTAAGTAAAGCTGCTGGAATCTCTGCGGGCTACAGCCCTACTTTAACCACAAGCTGCATCTTTACTCTCAGCATTGTTGATCAGAATCTGATTTTGGGGGGGATAGCACTTGCTGGTATAGAGAGAGGTAAGGATATGTCTTCTTTCCTAAGTACAAAGCCTGGCCACCTCTACTTGTGCCGCACTGGGTTCCTGGAATTTAATCTATCTCTCCATCAATTCCAGTCGAGTTGACCAGTTGAAGTATGATGTCCAGCACCTGCAGACTGCTCTCAGAAACTTCCAGCACCAGCGCTGTGCAAGGGAGGAGCAGGAGAGGCAGCGAGAGGAGCTTCTGTCTCGAACTTTCACCCCTAATGTAAGCCAGGCACCTGGGGGTGGGGGCGGCAGGCATTCGGACACCTGCCTGGGGCCGGAGCATGGCAGGTCTCTGGGCTCCATCCTCTCAGGGTGTCTGGAGCCGGCAGATGAGGACAACACCAACTGGAAATAACAGTGGACTTTGTGCACCCACAGAGGCTAGACCTTGACAGGGAATCTCTTCCTCACACAAAAACCTGAAGAGGAAGCCGTTCAATTCGGGGAATGGGCAGAGGTGAAAATCACCTGGTTTGACTGGTCCAGTGCAGAGGTGGAAGTTCACATGGTGGAAATGTTTTTCTGATCAGATAGAGACAGGTGATTAGACCCTAGACCATTTGTGGGGAAGGCAGCATTTCAGAGCTGCCTTCGGGCAGTTGCCTTTGTGCTGTGTGTGTGTTGAGGGGGAGGGGGAGGGTTCGTGTCAGAGGCATTAAAATGTTTTTGCCTCTAGTCCAAGCAGCAATTTGGAGGAATTTGTTAACAGATGTTTAGTTTTAGATGGACTGCTGGACTTGAGCCTATTTGGAGGTAGCTATCGGTTAGGGCGTTTGGTTTCTTAGAACACCGTTGTCCCTGCCCTCGAGTGTCAGTAAGGGTCATTTCCTGCACAGGGCTGCAAATACACTGGTCTTTTTCTGTGTCCTGCATAATATAGTCCACCAAATGAGGGTTCTTTTTGTTTTGTTTCTGCGTTTCATCTCTGGTTTTTTGTTTTTGTTTTTTTACAGAAGCTTTCGTTTTCTAAAGCGGTGTTAGCTTTCTAAGGCTGCCATCAGAATTCAGATCAGTCCTTGCTTTGCAGATGTTTAACGCTCGTGGCTCCTTCTGTGTTAGGCAGTAAATTTCCTCAAGTGTTTCAGAATGTGTCTCGGCAGTTTTTGTTTCTCCAGTGTAAGCAGTCAAGTAACAATGATTAACAATTTTAAAAATGTAATGAACTGTAAGACACGCTAAAAGACACTCTAGGGGCTGTTGATAGTTAAGATGTTGTATTCGGGCCTTTTTTAGGCCAGGGATACTCACTCAGGGTTATTTTGTTTCTTGCCAGCCTGGTGTGATTCTGTGCGTACAGTGGGCCCTTAGTAAACATGGACTTGCCTAATGAACTTCTTTCTGGCCATTCTGCGATCTGGAGGTGTAAGATTTCTCTGAGAGATAGTGGCCCATCAGCCATACCCTTTCAGGTGGGAGGGTAAGAAAGATTTGTATATAAAAGGCATGCAATGAATGCTTGTCAAATAAATGAAGAGATGTCTCTAAGGGATTCATTCATACACTGGAGCCTTCTGACCCACTGAGCTTTAGCTGTATGCAGAGCACTGTTTACAGTGCTGAGAGTAAAGCCTATGAAAACATTAAAAAGCCTACCTGTGAGAAGCTCCTTGTTAGCAGGGAATAAAAACCACTCTGAACTTGAGCATCAGAGAAAAGGTAGTTTAATGTCTTTGTGACAATTGGAACTGGGCCGGAAGTGGTTAAAACAGCTATGCCTAGCAGAACAGTTTCTGATGGTCAGGAGCTGGAAAAGAGAAGAGAACAGTATCATAACTGGTTAATACGGTAACTTGTTTCTGTATACGGTCCACTTTCAGTGTGAAATGGGAGCCACCAGGGTTGGTGTTGGTGTTTCTCTCTCCAGTGTGGTTAAGAGGGCAGGCTCAGGACCAGGATTCATGCCCCACCCGACTTCCTCACCAGCTGTGTGATCTTGGAGAAGTTATTCCCCCTCCCTGGGCTTCAGTTTCTTCATCTGTAAAGTGGAGATAAAGATAGTACAACTACCTTGTGGGGCTGGTATGAGGATTACGGCAGTTTAGGGTAACGAGCGTGGAAAGTGGAAGGTACTTGATCAGTATTAGTTCTTTCCCCCTTCATTTATTTAGCAAACTTTTCTTGCTCGAGAGCATAACCCATGGCCATCAAGTCAATTCCGACTCACAGGGACCCTGTAGGACAGAGTAGAACGGCCCCATAGGGTTTCCCAGGCTGTAAATCTTTACGGAAGCAGACTACCACAACTTTTACAGAGCAGCTGGTGGGTTCGAACTGCCTATGTTTCGGTTAACAGCACTTCTGTGCTACCAGGGCTCCTTTCTTGGGAACATAGTCCCATCTAAACACCATTAGGGCTTCAGTTGAAGATACAGTCTCTTCTACTCTTGGTCAGTTTCAGCCTAATTGGAGAGAGAAGCTACAGATGAAATGGCTAAGGAACAAAAACAGACACTTGATACTGCGTGAGGGAAAGCCAAGTAAAGGAACATGTGGAACAAAATAAGTTAGTGAATGGTCACAGAAGCCTGTGGAAGGAGCCAGATGAGGTCTTGAGAGAATGGAGAGTTGATTCCTCAGTGGGGGTAATTATACAGAGGCAGGAGTTAACCAGACTTGTGCAGCAGCGTTTATTTAGGGAGTGACAAGTCTGAACATTTCCTCTTCCTCTGTGCAGACAGAGCCATTCCAGATCTTTGCTTTTTTTCTCTTAGGTTCCTTTGATTCTTGCACTCTTCTTTGTGGCTGTTCCAGTGGCTTGACTTCAAGCAGTCAGAAGGGACTCTAGGAGGTGACCAGCAAGCAAAGTTAATCAAGCCCCTGCGTTTTTTTCACAGGACTCTGACACCACCATACCAATGGATGAGTCTCTGCAGTTTAACTCCTCCCTCTACAAAGTCCACCACGGCATGGATGACCTCATTGGAGGTGGCCACAGTATTCTGGAGAGACTGAGGGCCCAGAGGCTGACCTTGAAGGTGGGGTCCCTGCTGGGGGACAGGGAGAAGGCCTCTTATCTTGGCCTCCTCCAGCAGTTTGTGTTTCCATTTTGGTTATGTAACCCCACATTGTGATGTGATGGTGAGTCAGAGCCCTGGAGTTTGGAGTCCTTGTTGGAGTTGGATTATTATGAACCCAAAAGTGACCAGATTCCCTTTGCCAGTAGTATGTCTCGTGCTGAAATGAACCAGCATATGGTCTGTCTTGGTATCCAGGTCTTTTTCCATTTACTGAACTTCTCATGGAAGTACTACTACTGTGAGAAGAACCAGTAGTAGATAGAGAAAGGCTATAGAATCGAGTTTCACAAGAACGAAAATGTGGTTGTGCTTGGATGCCTCACTCTAAGGTGGTTTTCCCTCAGGACCCCTACTGTGGACTGCCTCAGAACAGACCATTTTTTCCTTCAGTAGCAGTCCCCGGGGATGGGGCTTAGGGCCACCCTGGTTGACTAGCAGCAGAGATCCTAAAGCACATGGAGGTCCCCGGCGTATTCCTAGAAGCCCCGCCCATTGGCACTGCTGAGACTCAGACCCCCTGGGAGAGGTTTACAGAAACATTACACAGACTCTGATGTCAGTTATGATGTTTCAGCCTCAGCCCTTTTCCTGTATCAGCCCTGTTGGATAATGGGGTGTGGGCTGTGCCTCTTATCAGGGTGTGGTCCCTTGTGAACGAAGCACTCCCAGCCACTGAGCTGTGAGAAACAGTCATGCGGAAGTGTGAGCTTTATCTTAGTTTTTGTTGGACCACGGTGAGCCTGTCCGCTCCGCTGGACTTTAGGACATTTCTGAGCAGCTCCTGCCATCTTTACCAGGGAGAGGGTCAGGCAAGCCGCAGGGGGTGCTGTCCTCCGCTGATGGTCACAGTGCATCGAGTGGCCTGAGGATGTGGTCTCCCACGGCCACGTGGATGCCACCCTCTCAGAGCAGGCACCCACAGTGATCTAAATGATACGTGTCGATTAATCGATTGGCCCTTTCTTTAGAAAACTGCTGGCCTCCTTCTCCTGTCTCAGAAAAACAGTAGAATCCTTTTAGGACAAGACTCCCATGTCACACTCAGGTAGACGCAGTGCGGGTAGAGCTCACTGTTAGAGCAGATGCCAGCTCCACACCGAAGTCTGCCATCACTGAGAAGTCCCGGCAACCTCTGCCACCTGCGCTGTTGTCAAGGGCACATGCTGGGAAGCTCCTTGAGGTGGTTGAGGGTTGAAATTTGAGGTTTCTAATTCCGGTGTCTCAGCATACCTCCTACTACCTGTCTTTTGTCTTGATTCTCCCCACCCCTCTTCCACCCCACCTCTATCAGGAAAGTTTCTGCCTAAACCATTTGAAAGGAGCACAGGGATGAGCATGAGGGAGCTGGGCTGAAGTAGCCCGATTTGGCCCAACCTGTGGTTGAAAATGAATGCTTTTTTTCTTTTTTTAATTTATGGTAATTTTCAGGTGATCCTGGAAGCTTGGGCCTTGGACCTCATACGGTGGTGAAATAACCTGTGTTTTCAGACCTAAGCAGAATCTTTAGCGAGAATATAATTTTTACTGTCACTATCGGAAAAACTATTTCTCTAGTCTCTTCCAGCAGCAGTAAAGTTTGACTTGAGGGAGATCTTTCCCAGCGAGGCTTGTTAATCATTGTCTGGGCAGAACAGGATTTTAGTTTCTGTCCGTGATGCTTCGTGTTCTCACTTCTCTGGCCTCTGCTCCCGGTTGCTCATTAATGTGTTTTCATTAAAGAAATGGCTGGTGGGGCATTAGGTTAGATGCTGCTTGTACAAGTGCAGGTGCTGATGTGTGTTTAAGCAAGTAACTCGGGGTTGGTTCCAGCATTCATTTATATTTGTTACCTCCTAAGAAATCGAATCCGCTTAAAAATAAAAGTTAGAAAGCAGTAGGGAGGGCAGGATGGATGGTTTGGGCTGTTGGTTTCGGAGCAGAATAGCCTTTTGTTTTGGTGGTGGGTGGTGCGTTTATTTAAAGGGGTGTTAGGTCATTGTGTTGGTGTCTGTCAGTCATGTTTCTGTCTTTCTCACTCCAAACCCTTTCGTGAACACGGACATTGGCCCACATGTGGTACTCAGTGGAATCCCCAAGGATCATTCATGCTACAAAGTGAACAGATGGGCATCAAGGATTATTGGAGCTAGGGAGCAGAGAGAAAGTTTTTAGATATTATCTTTATTTTAATATAAAATATTCTCATTTATAATTTGTTTATTGAGGTGTTACTTATATACAGTAAAGTGCACAGATCTTACTTGTACAATTCAGTGAATTTTGACAAATGCATGTACCTTTGTAACCCCCCTTTCTGTCAGTATATAGAACATTCTCGTCACCCCTGAAAGTTCTGCCGTCCCCTTCCCCGTCTCCTTCCCGGTCATTCTGCTACACATGCGCGGGCTCACGCACACACAGGCAAACACTGTTCTATTTCACCCTAAATTAGTTTTGCCTATTATTGAACTTCATATAAATGGGTTCATACTACTCTTCTGTGTCTAGCTTTTTCCTGTGGTGTTCGAGGTTCACTCATATTGTTACTTGTTTGGTTATGTGTTGATGAAAGTCAGTCCTTTTTATTGCCAAGGAGTATGCCATTGTGCAGACATACCGGAATTTGTTTTTCCATGCACCTGCTGATGGGCACCTGGATGGTGTCCAATTTTTGGATATTCTCCTATGTTTTCTTCTAGAAGTTTTATTAAAGTTTCAACTTTTATGTTTGATTCTATGATGCATCTCTAATTTTTGTGTATGATATGACTCAAGGTTTTTTTTTTCCACACACATGCCTATATATGTATGTATGCAGTATATGTATGTAATACTTATCTCTGCTACATTATTATAAAGCCAGTTGTTATAGCCCCATTTGTGGAATAGACTTTTCTTTCCCTCTTGATTGCTCAGGCACTTTGATCACAAATCAGTCGACCCTATGAGAGTGGGTCTGTTTCTGCTTGATGTTGCCTTTTAATATGCTTTGGGCCCCATCTCATGATGACATTCACCTACCCTTGGCAAAACCAGCTGACCTTGGTTCTCCTCCTCTTCTTGTCTGCCCCAGGGGACTCAGAAGAAGATCCTAGACATTGCCAACATGCTGGGCTTGTCCAACACGGTGATGAGGCTCATTGAGAAGCGGGCTTTCCAGGATAAGTACTTTATGATCGGCGGCATGCTGCTCACCTGTGTGGTCATGTTCCTCGTGGTGCACTACCTGACATGAGCCAGCCCAGCTCAGCGGCTGAACAGTGTTCCCACCGTGTGAGTGTGTGTGAGTGTGTGTGCGTGCAAGAAAGAGAGGGCCCAAGAGGTTGCCTTTTGAAATGTATGCCCATCATAACTGTGAAGACCATTTGGGAGGAACTGTGATCTGTAACCTAGTGGAAGTTTCAAACATGCTGTTTTCTGTGACATCTTGGAAAGGGAGCACAGTGCTTAGGAAGACCTGTTCCTCTCTCTCTCACTCTCCCTGGGGGAGAAAGTAATGTAAGGGGAAGGGATGAAGAAGGAAAGGAGAGGAAAAGAATGACTTCAGTGGTTTGTCCACATGGCGGGTGCCCCCGGGAAGGCTCTTGAGGTGGCTTGCAGACAGAACTGTCCACACTCTGCCGTTATCCAGCCTTTTCTGGCCCCTGATGGATAGGCTGGAGTAGAAGTGAAGGAGGGGAAGGAGGCCTTCTTTTCCTGTACCCATTATCGTGGACGGATTTACATGCTTTTGCTCCTAGCCATTTCCCCTCTTCTCACCCACCCTGAAAAAAAAAATGACATGCAAACAACTTACGGTTGATACTTGTCATCCTTCCCTGGAAGCAGTTACCTAGGGGAAACAAAGACAGTGAAGCTGATGCTGAGAACGAGTAAGATTTTCCACATTACAATTGTTGGGTGTTTTTCCTTTCTAAAGTGAGGCCAGTATTACTCCCTGAGAGTGTTCTGTCTTGAGGCTCGGGACCCTGGTCACTGCTGTTTTCCAGTTGTTACTAGAATGGCTGGCTGATGAGCTTCAGCGTGTGCAGCCTGGTACCCATGCCCAGCCTCTGGGGAGCTTTTGCCCCAAAGAAGGTGGCTGTGAGCAAAGGTTGGTGATTTGCTGATTACAGTCTCACATCTTGTTTTAGCATTCTTGGGCCCTCTTCACGTTCTTGAAATATATTAGCAACTGCCAGCCAAGCCCCCATTCTGCCCAGCCGGTATGGGCAGATGCCACCCTGGAGACCGTCCCTGGTGTGTATGTCCTTGTGAGGCTGTTTTCAGGGATCAGGAACTTTACCTTCTCTGATCAACCATGGATTGAGGCTTTATGTTGTGGAATTTATTATAAAGCCAGTCTATCTTGAATTCCATCTAATGTGATTAGTCGCTGAGAGTACCAAGAAGACCTGGTTAGCATATTTTTTCATCTGTCGCAGGCTCTGCCCACCTACCCCTCTAGGATAGGTAGCCTCATGGCAAGACATAAGACACAGAATTCCCCCAGAAGAACTGGAAACCTAGTCTGTGTTGTCTAGTCAGTTGTCTTGCCCCTCACTTCCTGTCTTTGTCTCTTGAACTCTCTTCTTCTTTCCCATCTTTACTGTGTGTGTTCAGTTCCACCTCCGATATTTTACCTTCCACCTGTTTCTTTAGCGACATTGGTCTCTTTAGGTACATCTGGGGCATAGCTCCCCCTTTGGTGAATTTCTTATAATTGTCACAGATTTTTAACATGAGTTTCCTGGGTACTGATTTCACACTTTGAGTCACATGGGATCTCGGTTGCTCCCAGCCCTCTGGGCTAAACAGGGACCTTAGGTTTCCAAGGAAGGGGGAGTGCAGCTCCTTCATAAAGGGATTGAAGGCTCCACCGGAGTGAACGTGGTAGTTTGGAGGGTGGACAGAGTGGTTGAGGTATCTTCCGACCTAGCTCTAACTGGGGAGGCACGGTTTGGAATTTCCATCTCGTCCAGCCCAGCACCTCTGCCTTTCTGGCACTCAGCACTCCATAGAATGAATGTCTGAACTGCACAGACTTGGCTGCCCTATCCCTGGGCACATGAGGATTCCACCAGACAGCACACCTTGGAAGAATGTGTGCAAGGAGCAGCTACATCATCTGGACTTGAACTCTGGGAGGCAGAAACCTCCCCCCACCACCTGTCCTCCATTGCCCGTTGGGACACTTCTGTGCCGCGTACACCAGTATATCCCATATTCGCCTTTATAACGCTTGCTGGCCTTGAGGAACCAGAAGAAAGGCCCACCTCTGTGCCAGGTCTCCCTACTGTGTAATAAAAATTGTGGAGGCAGTTTGTGGGTCTTTACTGCCTGGGGCAAGGGAATGGCAATCAGTGTGTCCAGAGACACAGGGGCACTGAGGCTGCATGGCATCATGTGACTGTCTTTTCTTTCAGTGCCCAACCCCCCCCCCCCTTCCCCAGAAACTGGTTCCTTGGCCTAACTAGGTCCTACTGTCTCCACAGCCCGAGTGTAGGGCGGGTCCAGGGCCAGGGAAGGAGCACCCTCTAGTGGAGTCAGAAGGGAATTCTTAGGTCCAGTTGCAAGAAAACTCTTGATAAAGTCTCTGCGACCTTGTAGGACGTTTTGGTGCCCATTGTGGTTTTAAGCAGGTGGGTTGTCAAGAGGAACTTGGGAATATTTTTATTACACGCCAGTTTACTCCAGGTATGACCACTTATGAAAAGCCAAACTGGAAGACGTAAGTAAATAGGAGAGTCTTGATTTTATGGAAGGCTTCCCTGCTGGGTTGTTTTCTTAATCTTTTGTCCTAATGAATTTAACTGGGTTTGATTGGCAAATTTGGATTTACACCCATTGTTTTTTAAACACATCAGTTGAATAAAGTTGAGATTTATTTTATGTAGAAAATTAATACTTTGTAAAGGCACTTGACATTCATTGTTATAACTAATGCCCCTTGTTTACTTTCTGGGCCAGAGATTCTCACGCCGCTCCAGGGCCAGGCTAGGTGGCTCACAAGCAGCTGGGAAACTTTGTTATTACAGATTCCTGGGGCCCTACCCCAGACCTCCTGGATTACAATGTCCAGAGGTGCCCTGGAATATGGGTGGTTTGGATTTTTTGTTCGTGTTTTAAGTCTCTGAGGTGTATTTAAGGTGATGTGTGTAGTTTGGAACCACTGTCTCCAAGACAGATGGCTTTTGTCTTAATTGAAGATAATAGATAGCATTTGAAAGTATATGCTGAACTAGCTCAGCATGTATATGTGAAGAACAAAACTTGTCAAGTCCAAAATAAAGGCTTACTGTTTATATCCTACCTTATTCCAGAAAAGATTTGAGGAGACTTACAGGAAAAATACACAGGTCCTTGGGTACTGCAAGTGATTTGTCCTCAGCTTCTAACCAAAAGGTTGGAGATTTGAACCCACCCAGTGGTGCTGTAGAAGAAAGGCCTAGTGATCTGTTTCTGTAAAGATTTCAGCCAAGAAAAACCTATGGAGCTCAGTTCTAATTTGGAACACATAGGGTTGCCATGAGTTCAGATCGACCTGAGGGCAACAGGTTTAGGTTTTTTGGTTTGTACGAAATAACTAAAACAGTAAAATATAAAGAAGCCTGGACCAAGAGCAAATCGGTAGAGTGTCGATACCAATTTTATTTAGAAAATTAATACTTTGTAAAGTCACTTGATATTCATTGTTATAACAAATGCCCCTTGTTTACTTTCCAGGCCAGAGATTTCTCACACTGCTCCAGGGCCAGGCTGGAGCAGTGTGAAAAAGAGAAAAGTGCAAGTCGTAAGGCCCTACAGAACTGCTCTGGGAAATTCTTAGTTTGGCTTTGAGCCCCAGCAGCCAAAGCAAAGAGAAAAGCATGATCCGCTAGTGTCTAAATGGAGGTGGGTGGAGGGGAGGGAATAGCAGTCATTTGCTCAGGCGAAGCTTATCCCAGACCTTTAATAACTTCCCAAGGCCCCACGGGGAGTCATGGAGGAGCTGGCCCCTTGTCTGGCTGGCTCTATAACCCGAGCTCCTAACCACTGCACCAGTCAGCCTGTGCTTGTTAAGAGATGCTCCACTTGGGGGCAGTCATCACGAGGTCTGCGGGACTGCAGCCTGCCTGGGACCCGGTACAGAGCTGTAAGGCAATTGTTGCAGATAATAAAGACTTTACATGTCAGATCCTCTTAAAGTATTTTCCAAATCGAGAGAGAGATGGAGAAGGTCGGGGAGGAGCTCCTGGAAGTGGAAAATGGGAGCTGTAGCCAGGCCTTGCCAGTAGGGGGAGACGTAACCCTGTCTTTGGCTGGTCCACCCAAGAGCCTTGCTCTGTCCCTGTGGCTTCCCAGCTGACCGCCTGACCTAGCGATCCCTTTAGTGTGGCTCTCACCGGCCCCTCCCCAGGCTCCTGCGACATGGGAGCTCTTACTGAGGAGTTGGTGCGGGCTTGACCAGGCCCAGCAGGGAGGCCTGGTGGACCTCAGAAGAGAGCAGGTGGCAGCATGAAGTAGGACATTCACCTTTAATTAATTTGTTCACTTGTTCTGTACCCACGTGTGCAGCACCTCATTGGATGTTTCAGAGCAGGCAGAAGGGGTTGAAGACGACCCTGCCCCCCAGAGCTCACAGTGATTATAGAAGTGTGAAGCAGCAATAGAAGCCCTGAAACCAGACTGCAGACTGGCTTCAAGTTCAGCACTGCGGCTGCCAGCTATGTGGTAGGCATCTCTCTGAGCTTTCTCATCTTACAACAGAGTAGCACCTGTCCCCCATCCTTTCCCGGGGTGGACATGAAGCCCTAGTGACCTAGTGTTTATGGTAGGCTCCAGAGGGTCTCAGTAATTCCCAACATTTGGCTGCTTGTTCAAATCATTTGGAGAACTTTAAAAATCCTGGTTCTGGGTCCCACCCCTACAATTCTCAGCTACTGGGTCTGGAGTGTGGTCTGGGTTTCAGGTTCTCTTCTTTTTAACTTCCCAGGTGATTCTCACGTGCAGCCAAGGCTGCAAACCGCTGCTCTCAATGCCTGACAGATGTGATGGGTTATCATGACTGTGTGGTTAGAAAGACAGGGTCTCATGCGAAGCAACTAGAGAGCAAAGCAGGGCTTCCAACAGCTTCATACTGGTTGGAATCCCTGAATCTACATTTTAACAGGATCCCGGGGTGATTCATATATATACATATACACATAGATTCTGAGTCAGTATATATGGGGTGGGGGGGTGAACATGCAAATTCTCAGCAGGGGTTAGAACTGACCAAACCAGTTCGAAGCCCTGGGGCAAAGTAACAAATCCCAAAGGTTGAGGGACTGCAGTGTAGAGCAGCGGTCACCATGGGGGCAGTCAGCTAGGAAGGGCTTTCTGGGAGATGAGTGTGCTGACAGTTGGTCATGGGACGTGATTGAAGGAGAGTCGTCAGAAAAGTTGAGGATGAAGGGGACAGGATAGGGGAATCAATAAAGTCTAATTAGCCTGCAAGGAGCCCTGGTTGCACAGTGGTTAAGCTCTCAGCTGCTGACCAAAAGGTCGGTGGTTTGAACCCACCAGCCACTCCAGCTTTGGAAACCCCATGGGGCCGTTCTATTCTGTCTTACAGGGTTGCTATGGGTTGGAATTGACTCATCAACAACAGGTTTGGTTTTGCTTAATCAGCCTTTGTAGGAGCCCTGGTGGCACACTGGTTAAGCACTCAGCTGCTAACAGGTCGGTGGTTCAAACCCACCAGCTGCTCCTCGGGAGAAAGATGTGGCAGTCTACTTCCGTAAAGATTACAGCCTTGGAAACCCTGTGGGGCAGTTCTGCTCTGTCCTGTAGGGTTGCTGCAAGTCAGGATCGACTCAATGGCAGTCGACAGCATTGGGTTTGGTTGTGGGGTTTGGAATTAGGCTTTAAGAGCCCTGGTGGTGCAGATGGTCAGGCATTCGACTACTGGCCGTAAGGTTGGCAGTTCGAACCCACCTAGAGGCACCTTGGAAGACAGGCCTGGTAATCTGCTTCCGAAAGGTCACAGTCTTGAAAACCCAGTGGAACACAGTTCTACTCTGCACATGTGGGGTCGCCACGAGTTGCCCTTTCACTGATACCATCATCTGCCTGGCTCGCACCAGCACAGAATCCACCCAAGAGGTGGTTGCTGCTCAGAGGCCCGAGAAGGCTGAAATGGGGCTGAATCTATGGCAAGATGACCAGGGGTGGGCTGTGCAGAAGGGAGGCCATTCCCACCTCCTACTTTCCCCTCCCAGCCTGGGCAATGGGCTCCGCATTCTCCAACCCAGGCCTCTCAAGCTCCACCTACCTCCTGGCATCTACTCCAATGCCGCTGTAAGCCTCCTGTGCCCAGGGCACATGCAGGAGGAGAGAGTGAGGAGCTCTGTGAACAGGGGAGAATCGTCATCTCTCCCCGACTGATGTCACCAGTTTGCTGTGAAGGTCGGAAGGTAAAACCCTGAGCACTCCTGGGTGTTATCCAAATCTTGTTGTTATATGCACCGGGTGGGTGTAAATTCCATCTCCATGGTGATTTCTTCCAGGCCATTTGTTTCTCCCTACACTTTCCCCCTGTGGCAAAGGGCAGCCTTTCTTCTCACAGCCCAGATTCCCTGGGAGGCCCTTGGAAGGCAGCCCCCAGGGCAGAATTCCAGAAGGGGGGCCATGGCCACCTCCTTGGATGAGAAGATACCGTGGAATAAATTTTCTGAGGTCACCCATTTGAAAGGAACAGCACATAATTAAAGATATAGGAGGCCTGGGATATTCACTTAAGGGAAAAAAATAATAACTCAAGTCCAGTATTGTACCCTCTTAACATAAAAAGTTGATGTAATGATTACCAGAGATGTCATGAGGCAGCAGTGAGGTACCAGGCAAGCGGGCCAGAAGCCAGAGTCTTCATTCAGAGGGCAGATAGCTCATCCTGATGGGGGTGGGCATGGTCCAGGAGGGCTTCCTGGAGGCGGGGGACATGAGCTGGTTAGAGAATGGGTTGGCTGGCCAAGCAAGTGGTATTGACTGATTTTTCTGGGGGAAGTTGGGGAGGGGAGCTGGTTTGAAGGGGAAGAGTATAATCTCAGTTCTTAACTGGCTGGGTTTTGGAGTGGAATTCTAGAAAGAGTAGAGAACTTGCATTTCTAACAAGTTCCTAGCAAGTTATACATAAAAATCACCAGGGGTTCTTGTTAAACTGTAGATTCTGATTCAGTATATCTGGGATGGAAATGCAAATTCTCATCTGGGAACTTATTAGAAATGCAAATTCCCAGCAGGGGTTCGAACCAGAACGAACCAGTTCGAATCCCTGGCTTACACACTGAGAACTGGTGGAGGTGGGGCAGGATGCAGGGCTGGTTGATTCGGGGCTCTTTCCATCT